GCTTCAGAGCTGTTCCTGGAGCCTCAGAACTGCTCCTGGAGCCTCAGAGCTGCTCCTGGAGCGTCAGAGCTGCTCCTTTCCCTTGGCAAGGACTTCCTGCACAGCCCTGTGCTCTGGGCTGGGGCTGAACACAGTGATGTCAAGCTGGGGCAAGCTTCCCAGTCAGAGGCAGGTTGTGTGAGTACACATTGCTCAAGAGAGGAAGAGGCTCAAGGTGTCTGCTCTGTCCCTTCCCTGGGCCTTCCATTCATTTATTTGTGCTAGTTTTACAGGAAATATCCCTGCATCTTTAATTTTTTTTTTTTTTTTTTTGTCTAGTGAGCCATAGAAAGGCAAAATGGGGTCCTATAAGAAAAGAGATCTGGCTGTAACACATACTTTTCTTCCCTTACCCTCTTCTCCAAGACTGGATCAAGAATTTCCTTGTGAATCTCAGGAGAATCTGCAAAGCAAGTAAAGGAGGGGCTGTTTTCCAGACCACTCACCTTGGAACAGAAAAACAAGTGGTCTGGCATCTTTTGGAGCAAAATGGAAGAATCCTGCAAACACTAATGTTTCCCTGGGGCTGCACAGCCTCCAAGCAGGAATTACAATTATGAATTTAGACGTCTTAAAATGCCTTTATGCTGTTTCAGGGGCCTAAATCCCACCTGACTCCGTTGGGGTATGATTAGGACCCACTTGAGAGAACTTCAAGGCACAGAGATAGTGAATTCTTACCAGAATTTGTAATATCACAAGAATGAAATTGAAATTGCTCACCCAATGAAATGGTTTTTAGTGATTCTCTTATGGTGTTGGGAAGATCCTCTGTAAGTATTCTGGAACCATCCTTTCTGGATGAGTCCTGCACATGTTATATCCCTCACAGAAGTGATATGAGACGGGATAGCTCTGGTGCAGGTGCAGAAGAGAGCTTTGAAAGTGTTAGAAAAGTACATTTGGAAGTGTGAACTTTCTTCACTAGGAGGGTAGGTCAGTCAGGATAACAAATCCTGTTACAATTTATTAATTAGTGCATTTTAATTTGGAAGGACTATGAAAAGTCTAGCTACTTATCCTAGAAGACAGACTGAAGCCAACACTAAATTTACATTTCAGTAAGGACAAAATACATCCCAGAGGATATGAACAGGAAGACCAATCTGTTTCACATTTGCAGAAAAGTGTAGCTCTGTTGCTGTCCCACTGCTCTCAGGTATTCCCAAAAGAGGAATTCTCAACAGGAAGCTCCTGTTATTTGTGTTGGTGTCCAGTATTGCCCTACCACAGTTTTTCATGGAGGAGGCTGGAAATGCATCATACTTTTGCAAAGGTTCCAATGAGGAGTTTTGACATAATTCCCCATGCAAAATGTAGCCACTGAATAAGCTGCGTTTATGGTAGGGATGGTTTTGTTCCAGGAATTCAGGCTTTAAACTCCAAAGAAATTTGGAGTTTTAATCCTGCATTACTGACACATTTCACTTTGTGGTTTTTTGTCATGGAGAGCGGCATCTCAAACCGCACAGCCCAACTCCCAGGAAATTCACCCACCTCCCGGCCTTAAAATCCACGCTTGCCTTAGGTCCACGGCTCATGGAAAAGTTGTCCTGGGAAAGATGCGTCCCTCCCCTCCTCCTCCTGCAGCCTGCAGCAGGACCATTGTCTGCCGGCGGCAAGGCATAAAGGAGTTAACGAAGGAGCCGGCGAGGAGCTGTGCCGGGGTGATGTCAGAATATTTGCAGGCAAAGAATGTGCTGGGGGGCGCTGGCCGGGCCGGCCGGGGCTGGTGGCCCCCGGCCCCACCCCGACATTCTTCTTGTCCGGTTCCCACAGGCGGAGAGTGGCACGGGGGGTCAGAGTGGACGAGCACAAAGAGGGACCCCCTGCTGCCGGGGCCATCGTGCTGGGCTGTCACTGCTACTAATTCATGACTTCACCTTTAATCTCACTGATCCATTATAGGTTAAAAAGAGACCCATTTTACAGCTGACAAGATTGAAGGGAGCGCAACCCAGGAACTGGGGATTGGGGGGGGGGGGGGGGGGGGGTGGGCATGGGGTCGGAAAAAAAAAAAGGGGGGAGAGAGAAATAACCCCCGGTAAAGTTTATGCAATTGGGACCATCTGCTAAAAATAGATTTTGTGGAGTTTGTTTGTCCTTTCCATTCGCTGTGACAATATCTATTTTAAGAGGAAAGCTGGTAACTGCAGCTAAATCAGAATTTTAGCACACAGGGTCAGGGCAGAAAGGAATGGGGACGAGAGGGAAGACCCGGGGAAAAAATATTAAGATTTTTAGGGCCAGGGCTGCACAGAGGAAAGGATGGGAAGCATTCAGATAGCTTAGTGCTGCTTTACAGCATGCTTGGTGAGGTCATAATGAGGAAATGACTAAGAAATGTATGAAATGTCAAAGGTAAGCTAATCAAATCAATATTGATTCAGCAGAGTAGTAACTATATGTGTGTGGCACTTGCAGCATGTTTATAATGACACAAATGATGAATTTTCATAAATAATTAGACCTACTGTGCTGTGAGCTGTAGATGAAGTCTCCAGAAGCAATTCCCCTACTTTCGTTAGTAGCATAATCACGTTCAATTTGTCCTTTCATGAAGGTTTTTATGCTGTTACTACAAGCAACTCAAGCACATATTATCAGTGAACTTCAAGAAAGTAAGCAAATTGGAAATACAAAAGTAGAGTCTGTGAAAAAGAAAAAAAAACAGTGGAGGAATGGTAATTTGCCACATACCTGTGAAAAGAATTAATTTTTTAGCATATAGCAAAGAATTCAACATTCTTGCATTTCCTGGTTTTGTTCTGTGTCAGTGAGGATGCTGTAGGCAGCTGTGTGTAATGCAGTTCAGGAGGTTAGGGCATTGCTCCTTTTTGCTTCCTCTAACTGATTCTCTTTGACAAAACCTTCTAATTCCCAAAGCATTTTTATCAAGTCCACCAAACTAGTCAATCACTCCTACTGTCCTGATTGTATCAGAGAGCATTGAAGCTCAAGAAGGAAATTGTTTGCTGGATTCTCCCTGTCTTTTGCCCTTGAACTGCTGGAGCTGCATCTTGTAGGATTTTGCAGTGTAAATATGTAGTTTTATACTGCCAGAAGTGCAGAGCTTTTGCATCTGCCACAACATCCCATTCCTTCCTTTTTCCCCTCCCAGCAGAGGAACTCTGGGAGTTATTGGCATCATGGTTGCCCCACTGCCATGAGGTGAGGGTGGAGAGTGGAGAAGTTTATCATGAGGATGCAAAAGAAATTTGCAAGATTTTTGGCTTTCTGATATTCAAGTCTGTGAAGGAGATCAGCTGCTGGTGTCTGTTGGGGGAAGTTATAAGAGAGAATGGGGACCTTTAGCATGAGCCACTGTCAGATGAAATCAGTGATGAAAGTCCCATTGAAAAGAGCCTCTGGATCAACCCAAAACCTGTTTTCCTGAGAGTGACATTGCCTGCGAATGGAGGCAGATTGAGGTCCGTAACTGGCCAGTGCTTTGGACGCATTCTGCTTACTTTAGTCACACAAAATGACGTATTGATGCAAGTTTCCAGGATCCAAACAGGCAGCCCTTTCTTAGGCAAAAGCCCTAATGAAGTCACTGGCACACAGCCTCACTGGCCTGTGGCCTGCAGGCTATTTCCCTAGTCAATACACTGGACCTAATCTTATACCCCTTGAGCATCAAACTCTGTGTGTATTTTCTGCAAGTGTTTGTTCTCTTTCTGCAGAAGTGCAAGATTTGTGTGCTGCAGAGTGTGGTGTCAGTGAGCAGCTGCTTCTCCTTCAGCATGAGTTGTTCAGCACACAGACTTCATTGGCTACTGGTTGGACAAAACCACACTGCAAAGCTGAGGCAAGGAACAGGGGGGCTGCCAAGCACAAACCTCCTGTTTTAGTTTGGAAACAAAACAAAACAAAATTATCAAAGGAAAAGAAAATTGTAAATGGCTTCAGCAAATATTAAGAAAATATGTATTTTTGCCTGATAATCTGACTACTTCTAATTTAGTGGAACATGTTAACTCCTCTGGTGAAGTTGAATGCAATCAGTGGAGCTGATTAACAATGAGTTAAGAGTTACCTTGCAAAATGGATTTCATTAACTCTTTGTAAGCTTAGTCCTTCTGGTTTCTGATCAGTCAGCTGGAATTATTTTTCAAATTCCTAAGAGTGTAAGAAATATAGATTGGAATGGCAGCTTCATATATTACCTTGGTTACAAAGTGTCCTAAAGCAGTAAGTTAAAATGATAAAAATCATAAGGATGTTTCCATAAGGATGCTTTGTTTTAGTCAAGGAACTTGTATTTGTTCTTTCTTTCAGAAATTTTTGATTTAACTGCTTCCCACAAGGAAATGTTATAATGCAATGCCCAGATATACAGGTAAAAAACATCTTTTGGAACTGAAAAATTACTATCTCCTTCACACTTCTCAGAAATTATAGGATGAATAAAATCCTTCTCAGATAATTTTTTTTCTAATAACTTTTTCACATGTTCAGCAATGCACCTGTAGGCAGATGCCCAGAGGAGCCAAGAAAACAGCTTCTGTGTTTATTGGATGGATTAGGGCTGAACTGCTGAACTGGGTGGCAACAGCTTGGCCTGGAAGTAAAAGAGAAGGGAATGAAGATGATCCAGATGACCAGATTAATTGTGAGTGCTCCCTGTTACCACACCCCTGACACTTGGTAGGATCAGTGCTTGCAGTCCATGCAAAGCAACCCTGAAAGGCTCTGCCTCTGGCTGTGCTAGATCCTGTGCTAAGCCCACAGGCAGGCTCTCAGCTCAAATATATCTGAAAATGTGGGCCTTAAATATCCAGCTTTCTCTGGGAACTAACTTCCTTTGACAACTCACATCCATGTTGTCATCATGCTTGGCGTGCTATAAATACATCCATGATCTTTGATGCCAATCAACTAATACCAGGTCCTTATCACAACAAGCTCATACACCTCACAGTGTGCTCAAGGAGTTATCTTTCTATCTCCTTTTTAAAGATAAAACTAATCCATTGTAAGCCCCATAACAAGGAGCCACTCACAGGGTGAAAGTATAAGTGCAGTTTTTAAATGGTATTGTATTTGTCTCATGGTGCTTGCCATTAAAGACACAGGTATGAAAAGATGCTCTCTGTTTTTATGCAGCACTGCTGTGGAGATAGAATACAGTTTTCCTTGTGCTTGCCAAAGGAGTTGTGCATGGTTTAATTAAAATGTATTATTATCCTAAGGCTTTTTCTTTTTTAAAGGAAAGTGAAGCACCCTACCGAAGACACAGGACATTCATACACCCAAATCTGTGTCAGCATCCTGCTGGCAGTGAGAGCTTTTGCACAAACATCTGATTGCAGAGTTAGAATTCAACAAAGCAAGAAGAAACAGGCTGAAGAGCAACCACCTAAATACATGCAGCAACATGGAGAGCGGGAAGCGGAACCGAGAGAACAATAAATGAAGAAACAATGAAAAGGTCAAGCACTTGCTCAGGATTCATAAGTACAAATGTTGCAGTTCAAGCAGTGCAGGTGAAAAATGAAATTCTGTCTCTTCACAATTTTTTTTTGTTTCCATATTTCTTTTTTCCAGCTCATGAATATCACTGAAGGAAATCTTGCTTATAGTAGAAAAACCCAAATATGAGATGCAAATAGTACATGGGGCCATCAAGACAGGACAAAACCCCTTTTTTGTGACTGCCTTCACAAGAATGCACTGAATTAAAAGAGAGATACATTTTGTACAAATCATGTTGGAACCTTCAATGCACAAACACAATCTTCCATCCTTCCTTTCCATGTAGTGCTGGTTCAGTCAGAAATGGTGGATGGCAGAGCCCTCACCTACTGTGCAAGACATGTATGGTGATCGTGATTCTCCAAGCTCCAGAGTTTTGAGAGCATCTGGAGCAGAGAGTTCTTGACTGTGGGGGGCTCACAGGTGGCTCGTGTGTCCACACACGCACTGAGGCTGGGTGGGGACAGGGGCAGGTGTGCCCACATGTAGGTGAAGAGTTGTTGTGGAAAATGGAAGAAGGAAATTGTCACCTCAGGAGTTGTGAAGTCTAATACTACTTGAGCTACTTTTACAGCATCAGACCAAGCTCTCTTGGAAAGGATAAAAGAAAGCCAACCTGGCAGATTGAAACTCCTGTATGCGGTACCTTCAAGGATTCCCTTCAGCAGTGGTGTACCCCATTGCTGCTCCTTACTCAGGAGAATATTTGTCCTTTTCTTAAATATTCTTCAGTGCTGTTGATATCCCCGATCTTCTCCATCCTCTTCCTGCAGTGCGTACGGTCCTCTGCTCTCTGGTGTTTTTCCTTTGGTACATGTTTCCTTGACATGTGGTCCTTTCCTCCTCTGGACCTCCTGCCTCATCACCTTCTCCCACTGGCAATTCTGGCCCCACTGGGTTTTGTATAGTGCTTGTACAGTTCTTTCTTCATGCTCTAGAAAAAGCAAAGCAGGGGTGCAGTGTCAGACAACCCCTGATGACAAAGGAAGGGATGGATCTGACAGCTCCATGAACCTGCAAGTCCCTCACCCTTGGAATCCTCTTAGCTCCTGCTGGGACTGGTTGGAGGAGGTGACTGAGCTATAGGAACTGGTTTATCCACAGCTGGCAAGACAGCAAATGGTGTACCACAGCTTTGAGAAACAGGTGTGATTACACAGTACCTAATTTCTATTTAAATATAATCACGAATTGCTCCTGCATTTCTCTGACAACATGGAGAGGTAAAAAAACCCCAATTAATTAGATTTATTTTAAAAAGAAAACAAAAACCAAATGAAAGCAAACAAACTTTCAAATTAATCCCCATACTAACTGCATTGCAAGTAATGCAGTTACATCAGGACTTCCTTTGGGTCAATATTTTCTTTTGCCTGA